GAAGGAGGGGTGGGTATCACACGGGGCCCAGGGCACTGAGAGTGTGGGCCACTGGGCCTCGGCCGGGGCTACCCCTGGCCCTGCTCTGGCCTGATGCTCCTGGGGCTTTCTGGTTCCCCTTCCCCCCCGCCCATCACAGGGGCTCCGGCAGCCTGTGTCTTCCTGAGGACGCCCAGGACCGAGTCCCCTTTCCAGTTCCGTGCAGAACCACCTCCTGCAGGGACGGAGCCAGTGCCTCCTGGGCAAAGCTCCTAACTGGGTTCGGGTACTTGATTCTGAGTCGATGACGGGACCCTGGTTCTTGTGCTCAACCCAGGTGACCCGTCCTGTCTCCTCAGAGCCTGCGCCACCTACCCTCCCTGACCCTGGACCCAAGGGAGTGTCCCGGGCTGCCCGGTCTCTGGTGCCCTCTGGCCCTGGCTCTGTGGCCTGGCCCGGGCTCCGCCCCTCTAGCTGGGGAGGGAAGGGGGACGGCCCCGGCACAGCCCAGGAGCAGTGGGATTTAGGGCAGTGAGGACTGAGGGGTGCAGGCCCAGCACTGCCACAGGCGGCCTGGGACACGGATTCATGCTGTCCCTACGGTGCCTGGGCAGGGGGCACAGGGTGGGCCCAGCGGCAGGAGGAACGTGAGGTCTTCGGGGCAAGACCCCAGTCCTCCCCGCTGCCGTGACTGGGGTGGGGTTCTGCCCCCCGGCCTGTGCCCCCTTGTCTACCAGGCTGGCCTGCCCTGGGAGCCTCCGACGCCCGGCAGCCCCTGGCCCAGAAGAGGAGGGGGTGCCGCCCACTCTGCCTCTCCTGGTTGCCCCTCGTCTGGGCCTTAACTGGGTGGCCTTGACTGGGCCTTGTGTCCGGTCAGCAGGCAGCAGGCAGGTCTTCCCTAGGCCCGGCCCTCCTCCCCCAGGACAGGTTGGTCGTGAGCAGGGCAGCTGGCCCAGGCCAGCCCAGCCTCTGGGGGCAGAATGCTGTGAGGAATGTGCCCCCTCCGCTGGGAAAGGTCAGTCTTGAGGGCTGGTCCTTGGGGACTGCAGCTGCACGCCAGGGGCCTGGAGCTGGGTGACGGAGGTAAGGAGGGCTAGACCCAGGCTTGGGGACCTGCATCCTTCAGCCAGTGCTGGGAGTCGCAGCAGAAAGGGGCCCAGTAGGCCCCGGGTCACCAGTGGGCCAAACAGGCCTGGCCAGGCAGTCCCGCCTGGCTTGGCTCTAGGGCGCCAGCCCACAGGGAGCTGGGTGCTGGGGGGTGGGCCACTACTGCTCCCATCCCACCTCCAGGCCCACTGGGACCTCCGGAATCCACTCGGAGTTCCCCTGGAGTACGAGAGATGTGGGGTGAGATCAGGGCCTTCTCCTGGGCACAGGCTGGGATGGAGCAGAGCATCCAGCCTGTGGAGGGGGGTAGGGAGACCCCTTGGTAGGGCCTGAGAGTGCACCCCAGTGGGTGGTCCCATGAGGACCACCCCAGGCCTTACAGCTGTGGTCTTCAGGTCCCCAGGGAGACCACCTGTCTCTCCTGCCTGTCGTTACTCAGCCGGGGCGTGGGGGCTGGTGGCCTGGGGCCTTGGCCGACACTGCCACCTGCCTGGTCCCCTCCCGGTCCCCGGCCGGGAGTTACCTTGGCCTAAATCCTCTGGCCAGCTGGGCTGGATCCAGGCTTGGATTAGTGCAGGGGATTGGGCAGAGGGTGGGCGGGGCGGGCAGAGGCCCTGCAGCTTCCCCACCTCAGGCCCTGGGGCATTGCTTCTCCTGGGACCCCTTTGTGGCCCTGGTGGTGGGTGGGCTGGCTTGGGGGCCATCGGGGACAGCAGGTGAGAGGCCAATGCCAGAGGCGCCTGGGAGCAGCCCTGCGGGGGCCTCCGTGGGCAGTGAGGGGGAGAAAGAAGCCGAGGAGGGAAGGGGGCGCCGTGGAGCCCCCGGGCTGCCTGCCACCGCCTGACCTGCCTCTGAGGTGGCGCTGGGGTCTGGCCCTCTCTGGCCTCCGTGAACCCACCCCTGGCCATCATCGGGGCATGTCTGTCCCCTGGCCATTTACCCCCAGCCGGACCAAGGGAATGGTGGCCTGCCGGGCGGAGGCCCTCCTCTGGGTCGGCGGCAGCGTGGCTGTGTCCCCGCAGTGGCAGCTTGGCCCACTAGGTAAGGGAGCAGCCCGGCCTGCTCCTCCCTGGCTAGAGCCCTGCCCAGCCCCCGGGTCACTGGGCTCAGGAGATGGTGGAGGGGGGCTGCTCCTGGGGTTGTGAAAGGCCTGGGGGCTCCCACCCCACCTCCATGCAAACCTGTAGCCTCCTGACCCCTTGGGTCTCCCTCTGAGGGTCACGGGGCTCTGGCAGCACCCCCGTGCACCTCTCTGACCACCCCGCTCAGGGTCTGGAGGCTGGACTCCAGGTGGGCAGCGGAGAAGGAAGGGTAGGGGGAGTCAGGGGCAAAGGAGGGGCCGGGGCCACGGTCCTGGTGGATGTGCGGCTGGACACTCTCTGAGGGGTCCCTGTTACTTTGGGGGGCAGTGGCACCTTCAGCCCAGGTGTGGTGAGGCCAGCATGCTGGTGCCAGACGTGTCGGCCCTTAGAGGCCGGCAGAGTGCCCGACACTGCGGTGAGACTCTGGAGGGTAGAGTGTCTGTCTTGGCGGGGCCGGCCCACGGCGGGCCCCATTCAGGTCCGCCCACCCCTCTGGCTCTCTGTTCCAGCTGGTGGATGGGGCCTGGCCCAGGTACCGCCTTCCAGAACCTGGTTCTAGGCCTCGGGGGCCCGCCCCTGTCCCCATCCCCGGCCTCCCCCCTCCCACCTGCTACCTGCGTCCTGGCAGCCATACCACGTCTTTACCTCCCGATGTCTCCCCTGGAGCCCAGCTTCCCTGTGCACGGCTCCCCACTGTGCCCCCACCCAGTGCCTGCAGTTCAAGGTCAGAGGCTGGCTTCCTCTGAGGAGTCCTCACTGCCTGTCCCCTCGGGCTGACACATCGCCACCTGAGGGCTCCTCACGGGGGCCTCGCGGGTTAATTACTTGGTGCTTCACCAGACGGTACTTTCCTGGGTCCCAGGCAGTTGTGAGAGGCTGGAGCGGGGCCAGGACAGGCCTGTCCCTGGGACTTCCCGAGCCTGCTGCCTCTCCAGCCGGGCCAGCCACGGCCTCCCCTGGTACCTGGGAGACACGCAAGCTGCAGACAGGAGGCTGAACAGATGGGGGAGGAGGGAGGGGAGAGGGAGTGGGGCCCCCTGGGGGAAGGTGTGGGCTCTGCACCTTCCCAGACCTGTGTGGGGCCTTGGCCTCGTGGAGCCTCCTCTGTGGCCTCCGGGTGGATGTGTGTGGTGCGACCCTTGTGGCGCGTGTGAGGAGGGCGGCTTTCCTGAAGATGCCACGGGAAGGGGATGCAGGCTCTCAGGAGTGCCTGCGGCCGGGCCAGTGAGCTAGGCTGGGCATCGTGGGGGGCTGCCTGCATGCTGCCCACCTGGGTCCACCCTGTGCCTGGCCCGGGACCTCGTTGCATAGCAGCTCCTGAGAGCGGGCTCGGCCACCCATCCCTGTGTCCTCTCGTGTGTCATAGCCTTTGGGGTGGGTCATGGTGGTGGAAGGGGGTGGGTGGGAGGCCGCTGAAGCAGGGCAGAGCTGTGGGGTGGGAAGGGTCCCATCTGGGACCTCACCTGGCCCTTGGGCCGCAGGACCATTGGGGAGGCCAACAGGAGCCCGGCTGGGCAGAATCGGTCCGATTCTCTGTGTGGACTCTGGCCTCTCATCAGGGTCCCAGACTGGATCTGTGACCTGGGCCAGCACCTGGGGCCACAGGCAGGCCTGGGGTCTGAGTCCGGTGCCCTGGTGGGTGGGTGGTCTCTGCACCCCCTTGAGCACGTGGGGGGTGGCGCTGAGGCTGCAATGAGCACAGAGGGGCCGCTGCAGCGCTCACCGGCACCCCTGTCTGTGTCTGTCTGTGTCGGTCCGTCTGTGTGCTGGGTGGGCGGGCCACCAGTGGAGCGATGTATGAGCGCCATGCAGGCGGGGACGCAGATGGTGAAGCTCCGTGGCAGTTCCAAGGGCCTGGTCCGCGTCTACTACCTGGATGAGCATCGCTCCTGCATCCGCTGGCGGCCCTCACGCAAGAACGAGAAGGCCAAGAGTGAGTGTGCTGGCCCTGGTTGGGGGAGCGGGGGGCAGGGCAGAGCCCCCAGACCAGCACCCAGGGGGGCAGCGGACCCTCCCAGAGCAGCCACTGGGCAGCTGAAGGGGCAGCAAGGCCCTGAGCCCTGGAAGTCCCCAGGCCTGGCCCATGGGCTCAGCTGGCCTTGGAGATCCTTGGTGACATCTGGACGCAGTGGGCTGAGGGCCCTGGCCCTGCTGCCCACCTAGCAGAGCCCTCTGGGACTCAGTGGAGACTGAGTGGCCCCAGTGCCCAGCCCTGCACCGGATGCTGAGATGTGCTGAGAGGCAAAAGTCCTTCTGTCTAGCCAGGGAGATAAGACCGCTCATGAGCAGAGAGAGACCCTGCTGGGCACCCTGAGGGTACGACCCCGGTGCCGAATGCTGGCCCAGGCAGCCTGGGGTTTGAGCAGCTGACAGGCGTGTGGAGGCTGCAGAGCTGTCTGGATGGGTGGTGGCGGGTAATGAGCTGTGAGGATTTGGGCAGGGACCAGGCTGTGGGTCCTGGGGGTCAGGAAGAGACACGTGAGTCCTTACAGGCGAGAGACGGGACTTTATGGCCCCTCCTCTGGCTTTGGCGACTGGAGAGACGCAGGTGTGCCGGGGCAGGGCCTCAGCCCCGTGGTTGCTAAGGGCACTGCTGCCACCATGGGGCCCAGGAGAGAGCCATGCTGTGGAGCCCCCTGGGAGGGTGTCTTGGAGGAGGGGGCTGGGACTGCCCTGTGGGCCCCGGGGAGGTGGAACCGCAACTGGCTGCTCAGGCAGGAGCCCCTGTGCTCCATCCGGAGCGCCTGCTCTGTGCCAGACACTGTTCCCAGCACTGGGCATCCTTTGGGAACTGAGCCGCCGTGAAGCTGGTCTTTTGACTGTGAGGTGGGTGACACCACCTAACGGTAGGATAACTTCACATCGTGCTGAGTGACAAGAACACAGGATGGCAAATAGAGGGGAGCAAGTGGGTGGGGGTCGTGGAGGCCCTTCGGGGGAAGGGGTGACAGGGCAGAGACCAGCAGGCTAGGACAGGGGGAGACCAGCTGACTCTGGCAGTGGAGGGTTCCCCAGGAGGGAGGAACAGTGTAGGGGCAGCTGTCTCCTGACTGTCAGCGCCCCCTAATCTGGGGACCCAGAATGCCCACCCCTGCCACGAACATGCGTGCGCACGGGGAGCTGGGGAAGCAGGAGTTCCCGGGGAAGGGGTAGTGGGGGCAGAAGACAGAAGGACTCGCGCACCCTTCACTGTGCGAGTGGGGAAGACTCATCGTTACTGCACAGGACACGCTAACGTCCAGGGTGGTGCCGAGCCTGCCGTCGGGAGCAGGAGCCGGGCAGGGGGTGCAGTGCTGGAGTCTCTGGCTGTGCCGAGCCCAGGGTGCCTGCTCCCAGCGGGGATGCTGCCCACCTGTGCCCCGACTGCCTGAGAAGGGGCCCTGCCTCAGGCACAGGAACAGACCCTACAAACGCCCTTCTCAGCTCATCTCCTTGCGGTGACTCAGCCTCTGAACGGAGGCTCCACGGAGCTGCAGGCGCTGCAGCCAGTGATGAAATTCCTGACGGCGCCTGAGCTGGTGCACGCCAAGCGGAACCCCGCTGCCCCCCGGCCCCCACCTGGTGCCAGACTTTATTACCGAGGCGGCCCCAGGCTCAGACGGGGCGGGAAATCCCAAAGGGCCCCAGCTGTTGCTGAGAGCACCTTGGGGCCTGCGGGTGGAGGACGCCTGGCCCCGGGGAAGGCTGTGACCGTGCCCCCCGCCCCCGGCAGTCTCCATCGACTCCATCCAGGAGGTGAGCGAGGGGCGGCAGTCAGAGGTCTTCCAGCGCTTCCCCGACAGCAGCTTTGACCCCAGCTGCTGCTTCAGCATCTACTACGGCAGCCACCGAGAGTCGCTGGACCTGGTCTCACCCAGCGGCGACGAGGCGCGCACCTGGGTCACCGGCCTGCGCTACCTTATGGCCGGCATCCGTGACGAGGACAGCCTGGCCCGCCGCCAGCGCACCAGAGACCAATATCCTCACGGGCGGCGGGAGGGCCCCGGGGACCACCCCTCACTGTCCACCGTGTGGGGCGGGTGAGCCCCAGCTGGCTCACACATTTCGGGAAGGGGAACTTGGGCGGGGTCCTCCACGCCTTCCTGCCCGGGGAGGGGAGGGGAGGGAGGCGCAGCTGGCCTTGCTGCACCTCCGTTGGCCCCTAACTTGGCCCCAAAGTGGCTGAAGCAGACGTTTGATGAGGCCGACAAGAACGGCGACGGCAGCCTGAGCATCGGGGAGGTCCTGCAGCTGCTGCACAAGCTGAACGTGAACCTGCCGCGGCAGAAGGTGAAGCAGATGTTCAAGGTGAGGCTGGCGGGGCCGCCAGGAGTCTCGGGCCCTGAGCGAGGGCTCCTGGGGACAGGCGTGTGTCCGGCAGCAGGCCGGCCCTGTCCAAGCTGCAGGAGGTCCCGGGCGGCGCCATCCAAGCTGCAGCAAATGGCAGGGAAGCAGCCGTCCTGCACGTGTGCGGGGCGGTCAGTCAGATGCCCCAAGCTGCCCCCTGTTCGCAGCTGTGCCGGCACCACTGCAGCAGCTCCCGGGGCCTCCCCAGGCCGGCGGACCGGGCATGTGGGCAGGCGCCGGGTCAGCGAGGGGAACCACCCACAGGACCTGCACCCCACGTCCCACACTGCCCCACGATTCCCCAGACTTAGTGGGGTGCACGGGTCCTGCCTTTTGGGCAGCAGCTCTGGTTACCCACCGCCCAGCCTGCGGTCCCCAGGTGTTAGAAGTTATGAAAATGCATCCTTAGCTGAGTGGCGGCCTTTATTGTCTGTAATTAGTTTCTCTCTTTGCGGAACCGCTGCTGGGCCGGGGGAGGAAGGCGGTGTCAGCAGGTCCTGGATCCGGGTGGGGACGGGCGAGCAAACTCTACCCTCACTCAGGCCTCACTGTCTTGCTGCCACCTGGGAAGAGGGTTCTGCGAGCTTGAACCAGGCCCTGTGCCCCAACACACACACACACACACAGACACAGACACACATACGGACACACACACAGACATACACACACAGACACACACACAGACACACACACAGACACACACAGACACAGACACACACAGAGACAGACACACACACAGACACACACAGACACACACACAGAGACAGAGACACACACACACAGACACACAGACACACAGACACAGACACACACACAGACACACACACAGACACACACACACAGAGACACACACACAGAGACACACAGAGACACACACAGAGACACAGACACACACACAGACACACACACAGAGACACACACACAGACACACACAGACACACAGACACACACACACACAGACACACACACAGACACACACACACACAGACACACACACACACAGAGCCAACCGCTCCACGAGGCTTGGCGCCCGGCTGCTCCCTTCTGGGCTCTCATGAGGGACGAGAGGTTGTGCTTGGCTGGAGCGAGGGGAGCTGGCTGGCCCAGAGCATGTGGATCCGTGCGTGAATGGCGGGGGCGGGGTGGTGTGAGCAGAATGCTCTTGGACTGCTGGGTGAGTACTGGGGGGCTCACAGGGCCCCTCCTGAAGGCCCCAGCGGGGACAGAGCCGGCCTGGGCAGTGAGGGGCCGGCAGATAGCTCAGGCCCGCAGAGCAGCCACACTGTTCCCTGCCTGCCCTGGTTCCAGGGGTAGCTCGGAGGTCAGCAGTACCTTCCAGAACGGCGAGGCTGTGTCAGGGGCTCAGATTGGCCTTGGAGGCAGGACGAGAGACGAGTGCCCCCCACGGAATGGGGCTTCTGGGGCCTGAAGGTCCACCTCTAAGACCTGGCTTGAAAATGCCCCCCGCTGGGAGCTCTGGAGAGCCCACGCCCCCTGCCCCTCCTGTAAGGAGGCTGGGCCTCTCCCGCACCCCCTGGGCACAAAAGGGGCTCCCCATAAAGTCCTCTGACCAGCCCCAGGACTAGTGGTGTCCGGGTGCTGTCCAGACCGCTTCAAGGAGGACCTGCCAGTGGGGCCCTGGAGAAAGGCCAGCGGGGGGCTGTAGGCCAGAAGCTGCTGACCCCAGACCCTGGGCAGCTGAGCCCCAAGTGGGCGTTGTCCACGGTGGCCCCTGAGCACCTGGGCCTCCCTGCCCATCTGCACGGGGCCTTCTGAGGGCGCTCGGGAGCCCAGGGAAGGAGGGCTGACCTCCAGCCGGGCAGAGCGGCTCTGATAATTAGTAACAATTTTATGATCAGGAAATCTCAATATTGTTTCCACTGCCTGGAACTGCCCTAATCAAAGGAGAGATCTGTATGGTGGGTAACGAGTGGCTTGAGCGTAATTCCATTAAGCCTACAGTAGCCGTGGGACATAGGCCAGGCCGTACCCTGGGTGGCTCTGAGGCCATGCCCAGCGGCACAGCTCCGGCCGGCGTGTGCTTTTAGCCGCCGTGGTTTCCCTTTGTGGAGAGGAATGCGGCTGCGTGACCACATAGAGGCGTCTCTGGGGCCGAGGGCTCAGAGCTGCCTTTCGGGCCCCTGAGGGCCTCGCCGTCACAAGCATTTTCAGCCACCACCTCAGCATGCTGCCCAGCCCGGAGCCCGCGGAGAGGCCAGATCACCCTGCATCTCTGCCCAGCTGCAGCCACGGCCCCTGTGAGGGCTACCAGCCCGACTCTGTCCCAGACGGGCCCTTTGACCTGCAGCGAGTGCTCTGCCCGGGTCCGTCCCACCAGCTCTAGACACAGGGCTGCTCCCAAACCTGGCACAGACACAGGGGTCCTCACCTGGCATCTGCTGGCCCCGTGCAGGTGGCTCTGGGCTGGGCCCCTCATACCAAGCTCGCCCTGTCCTGACCTTGGTGTGAGCACCCGGCATGGGCACCCGGGTCCTGGAGGGAGATGCTCGGGTTGTGCTGGGTGCCCACCTAGGGGCCAAGCCACAGGGCCGGGGCAGTCAGGGCAGCCTTCCCAGGAGCCCTACTCTCTCTGGGCCCGGGGACATGGGGGTGGCTGTAGCCTGCACCTGGCTCGCTGGTGATACTTATGGTTCAGAGGGGGCCTCATTCCCATCTCCAGCCACCCCAGATTGTGTGGCCATAGGAGAAAAGACAATGCAGACGCCCCAAGAGGCTGGCGTGCACTGCTCTCCATGGTGCTGAACCCGGTGTCTCTTTTTGCCGGGCAGTCGCACCCACCCCCGCCCCCCCCCACCCCCCACCCTGCTCACCGGGCTAAGGACCCAACCTCGGCACTCAGGGTCTTGAGCACCTTCCACATGGCCCTTGTTGCCCAGCTCCAGGGACCCCCATGACTTCCTAAGGGCAGCCTGGCCTCCAGCACTGGGTGCCCTTGTCCTCTGGGTCTGTCCCTGGCCTGGGCTCTTGGTGTCCCCAGGGTCTGACACCTCAGCAGGTGCTCCCTGAGTGAGTGGATTCATGAAGGAGTCTGTGGTCTCATTAGGAGCCTGGTGGGTTGGCCTGGGGGGTTCCTGTGGGTATTGTGTGAGCTGCTTTCTGGTCTCAGCCACTGTCCTCTCATCTCTGCTGTGGCAGCCAGTCTGGGATTCCTACATGCCCGGGGGCCCGGTGCTTCTCTAATCAATGGACGGCCAACCCTAATTACAGATCACAGCCCAGTGTAGGCATTAACTCCTGGGTGGGGTGTTGTTGGCTGCAGGATGGGGTATTTCTCCAGGGTGGGGTGACTTTGCTGGGTTCAGTTGCAGGTTGACCTGGGAAGGCTCGGAAAGCGGGAGGTGGGGTGAGAGCTATGTCAACGGGTCACTCGGTGGCTTCTTGGTGGGAGAGGCGAGGGGGAGCCCAGTGAGGATGCCGCTGCCGGGCTTGGGGAGCATTCATGAGCCCGTGACATGGGCAGTGGTGCTGGAAGGGGGAGGGGTGATTCGACTCAGGGTTGACTGAAGAATGGGGAGCTTGGAGGCACCCTCGCGGTTGAGGCCCAGGGTGGGATGTGCGGGGACCCGGAGGCCTTGCGTTACAGGAAGCAGACACAGATGACCACCAGGGGACGCTGGGCTTCGAGGAGTTCTGTGCCTTCTACAAGATGATGTCCACCCGCCGGGACCTCTACTTGCTCATGCTGGCCTACAGCGAGCACAAGGACCACCTGGATGCCGCCGACCTGCAGCGCTTCCTAGAGGTGGAGCAGAAGGTGAGCGTCCCCAGCAGGAGCCGGGCTCCTGGTGGCTGTGGCCTCACCACGGCCTCCCGGGGCATTTGAGCCCGTCCACAGTGTGGCTGAGAGCTTGGACAAGCGTGGGCACTAGTCTGGCATTTGAGGCCCACTTGCTGCACCTGCCTCGGCTCCTAGCTCGGGCCACAGCCACCAAGCCGGTGGGGAAGGAGAATGGCTCAGCCCTGACCGTGGCCCCCCCCCGGAACTCCCAGAGGGGAGCCCGTGCTTGACCCCGGCCCCGAAATTTGCGTCGAGCATCGCCTGGCCTAGGTCCCTTGGCCCAGCCTTCAGGCCTGGTCCAGCCACGTGGGTCTGGCCAGCTCCCACCCCCAGGGCTCTGGGCCCACTGCCAACTCACTCCAACATTTGTCCAGCAGACGTGCAGGTGCCTCTGGGTGCCAGCAGGGTGTGCCTGCCTCTACTGTCCCCGGCCCCAGGCGCCCCATCCGTCCTGAGAGGCTGAGCGCTCCCTGGGCGCTGCCTGGCTGAAGCTCAGGGCCCAGAGGCTCAGGGGTCTGGACCCCTCATCCCGGGCCCGGGTTGGGGAGGGGAAGGCCACCCCCTGAGGGGACAGCGCTGCCACAGCGGGGCTTGGACCGCAGATGGCGTGGGTGCGGCTACTATGGGCAGCGCCGGAGTGAGGCTGAGGGACCACTGTTCCGACAGGGGTGGAGGGAGGGAATGAGGCCCGGGCTGGGATGGGCAGAACTGACCCGTTGCTCCCTGACCTTCGCCCTAAGCTCTCCAGAGCTCTTCCTACCGTCTGTGGCCAAAACTGTCCACCGGCTGGGTGGTTTGAGCCCTGGGCCCTGACTCTGGGCCTCCTGGGTCCACAGCTGCTCTGAGCTCTGACCCCATTTGCCCCTCCCCCCCACTACATACCCATCCCCACATTCCTGGGGATGTCCAGGTAGCCTTGCTCGTGGGCCTGCCTCTGGGAGCGGGGGGCTCCTGGGGGCTGCACTGTGGGGCCCTGGGAAATCACTCAGCCTCTGACACACGGGTCCACCGATGGGCAAGGCCACCTTGGGCTCGGCTGCCATGTGCAGCTTTCTTGCGAGGGACTTGGAGAGGCGACAGGAGGGGCCAGGTGAGCCCCCTGGGCTCCTCCAAGGTGGGACGTGGTCCTAGCCCTCCGGCACCTTCTCACACCAGACCTCGTTCCCTGCCAGTCCGCCCTGGTCCACAGCCCTCGAGACTGTCGAGGGTGGCGGGTGACCCGGCTGATGATGCCAAAGACCCCTCCCCTGCCAAGGGTCTCAGTCAGCACCAGCTCTTCCAAACCCAGGGGACCCTCTGGAGTCTGCTGGTCACTGAGTCCCAAGTCTCATGCCACCGGGGGTGGCCAGTGAGCCCCCCAATCAGGGGAGCACGCCACAGGGACCAGGGCCTCAGCCTCGCATGGTCAGCGCCCGTGCACGGAGGCGGCCCGCGGTGGGGCTGGCGATGGGCCAGCCTGGCCTCAAGCCCCTGCTCTGGCTTAGATGACGGGCGTGACTCTCGAGAGCTGCCGTGACATCATCGAGCAGTTTGAGCCCTGCCCGGAGAACAAGAGTAAGGGGACCATGGGCATTGACGGTGAGTGGGCACCACGCCGGCCCAGCTGCGCTGCCGGATCAGTGGGGTGTGGAGGGGTCCACGCGGCATGGGGGCGGGTGGTCCTGAGATGAGCCCACGGCGGGGCTGGCACACGGGACCGAGCCCCTTGCCCCCACCATGCTCCCCCAGCAGGTTTCACCAACTACACCCGGAGCCCCGCTGGCGACATCTTCAACCCGGAGCACCACCGTGTGCACCAGGACATGACGTGGCCGCTGAGCCACTACTTTATCACCTCGTCTCACAACACCTACCTCGTGGGCGACCAGCTCATGTCCCAGTCGAGGGTGGACATGTACGCCTGGGTCCTGCAGGCCGGCTGCCGCTGCGTGGAGGGTGAGTGCTAGGGCTCTGGGACCCAGCACGCCCCTCGGCCCCAGGGCCTGGGCCTAGGCTGTGGGCTGATGTCTCCTGTGGGAGGGTGGGGTGGCCCCGAGGAGCCCTCTGGAGTCTCTGGGCACGGTTCCTGCCGTCTGCCTGGCCGGGGCCGGGATACGTCTCTCCTGGTGTTAACTGCGATGCAAGAGGACCGCCTCCGGTTAGCGTCCACGGGCTGTGGGTCTCTGGGCAGTGGTGGCCCGGGCCCTGGAACCCACTGAGGCCTGTGTGCCTGCAGTGGACTGCTGGGATGGGCCCGACGGGGAGCCCATTGTGCACCACGGCTACACTCTGACCTCCAGGATCCTCTTCAAAGACGTCATTGAAACCATCAACAAATACGCTTTTGTCGAGAACGAGTGAGTGGCTGGGACTGGGGGCGCTGGCTC